GTGTGTGTGTGTGTATGATTCTATCAAACCTCATGCATCTGCATTTGCGTTGAGTTCGTATTGTTGCCGCAAATGGAAATACCAGCAATCAGGGTTTGGTTTGCATATTGGTAGGCAAACTGATGTACTATATTCTGTAGGTGTGTGTCCAGCATGCCACCCCTATACTCTGGGATATCTGACAATATACCACTCCATCGGTGAACAGACACGCGCTTACATTTCTACCTGTTTCACTCTAGCATATTGTTTCCCTCGCATTCTCATTCTTTTATTGATATACATGTAGGTATAACTCCCCTGGACTCCGCCTGTTCTGTGGAGATGCTTGACTACCTCCGTGACCAGCTGGTCTCTACTACCGACACACCCGCTTCTAGTACCGAACATTCGGCACCACAAACGGAAAAAAACCCTGAAAAACTAAGTTTATCCGACTCAAGCTCGGACAGAGCGCAGACTACCGAAACACCGCAATTGTCGGATACAAGCCCAGAGAAAGACTGCAGTTGTGAGACCCCGCAATTGTCGGATGTATGTCAGACCCGATTGACACCGGAATTGTCAGATTTACGACAATCGGACATGAGCATGAGTCCAGAAAGCGCCCAGCAGGGAACGGCTGGAGACTGTTTAACGGCTGTCAAGAGTGGGAGAAAAGCCACAGATCACGACCGACACCACGCGGAGCATGGGAGCACAGACCTGCACTCACCCGTGGATATGCAGAAGACGTCGAATACCACTCTGGACACAGAGAGTATGGGTGCGGCGTATGTGTATGCCAAACCAGCCAGTGCACACGAACCATCCCACACGGACAGCAACCAGCGTGTGGATACGAACGGGATGCTTTCTCGCACATATTCGGTCTCGAGCATGGCGGATGTGAAGGCAACACCTCAACCCACCCCCACAGTCAAATCAAAGGTCGGCAGGTCACAGGCACGCACGCCCGCGTACGCACCCACCCCACAAAGAAGTAGCGCGCAGACCCCGATTTCACACGCCAATACGTCAGATTCGGGTGTTAAATTGGCCGGGAATACTAAAACGAGCGCCAATCGGGTCACCGATCCCAGAAATGGGCCGCAGGGAACGCCGATGTGCACTCCCACCCCCACACGCGCCTTGCAGACACCGCCATCGTCTGTGTATCCACACACGAATACACACACACGCACATACACACACACGGGTACAGGCATAGGCACAGGCACGTTTGTGCATCCCACCCCTTCCAATTCGTCACTGGTTCTAGATAGGTGAGTGCTAGGGTTAGGGTTAGGGTTAGGGCTAAACCCCATCAGTGCTCTAGCTGCTTCATTGTTTATTTCTGAAATGTGTGTAGGTACGTAGCATCTCAGGTAGGTATGCCCAAATTTGGGCACTGCTGTGGGTGAGCATGCATGTACGTATGTATGGATGAGAGCAATGCATCCGTCAAATCAGGATGTCAAGGCCTGCTGTGTGTGTGATGTAAGTCTCCCACCTGTGTTCTCATCCGGGACTATATATTTATTTTGCGTCTGTGTGTACATGTGTATCTGATTTGTCTCTGGCTTTGTATGATTCGATACACTCCGAAAACCGATATATATGTGAGACGGACACGAGCCGAACAGACCCACACGAACAATATGGTATCCGGATTCAATGGTTTTAGGGATTTATAAACTCTAAAAAATCCTTAACTCTTGTAACCTCAGATGTACACCCGCACAAGCAGGCATCACAACGCTTACCACGTTATAACACCAAGCTCATGACAGTCCATACAACCCAAACGTTTAAGCGTACAATCCACAACTACACAGGCACCATAGTGAGTCCCCAGACAGAAGCTCGTGATTGTGGATCTCTCATCCGTCCACATCGTACAATACACAAACACATCATATAATACACAACCACATCATGTTATCGTATCTTTCATTTATGGATGTGCATTATGTCTCATCCTGTATTGTCATACATTACACAACCACAGCAGCCTATCGTAACTTTCATTTATGGATGTGCAATCGCATCCGTTGCCATCATATCCAACACAAATACAGTACCAGATCGTGACTTGTATTTATTGATATACATTGTATCTTATGCTATATGATCATTCCTTGCTTCACAACAGCGGTATCATGGTTGGCCCCAAGACCTTGAAACGGCACAACGACGACAACTCCTCGACGCAGAAACGCCACAGAAATGAGTCCTCATTCAAATTCGCATCCCCCCTCAAGAACAGACCGGGAGACACGCGTACAAGCCCGAGCGCCAGTACTACCGACAGCAAAGCACACGCCAGCACACGCACACGCACAGAGTGTAGTACAGACGCCGACCCCAGCACCAGTGTGGGTGCAAGAGAGACACGAATGGAGGCAAGCTTGGAGAGTGGGCGAGATAACCAGCCAACCAACGGCATGCACATGAACATGGATTTGTTGCTACAGGCGGCTCGGTTGAGTGGGGCCAGGGATGAGGCGTGCGCACCCCACACGTCCACGCACACATATAGACTCGAGACATGCGTAGGGCACGCGCACAACACCTTGGCACAGAGAGACGGCAAGGACAAGGCAACTCGGGGGGTAAAGATGGCCGGTGATACCAATACTAGGGCAGGTGATGCGCTTGCTCCAGGTAGTTGTTATGAAGTGGGTGCGCTTACGGGGGTGGGTGGGGGTGGGTGTCGAGAGGGAAGCACGCGAGAGGAGGAGGTTGTGACGGGTGACGGCTGGCAAGCACCGCGTAGCAGTAGTGCAGAGACTGGGACTGTGGCCACGGGAGAGAAGGCCCATAGGAAAGCCCCGGCAGCAACTGACACCGTGACACCGGATGACACGGGAAGTTCTATTAATAGAACAGAGCGGGAGTCCATAGATAGAATGGAGAAGGAGAAGAGCACAGAGACAGGCACGAGTACACAAAGTCGTTGTACAAGCATGGCTGATAACGAGACGCGAATGGACGATAACGGTACGGGTATCGCGAAAAGCGGGACGAGTGCGCCCGATAGCGATACGACGGCAGCGTCTAGCAACCTACTGCTTGTAAGTCTTCCCAATGCTGTAGGTAGTAGTCGTGGCAGGCCACACTCGCCTGGTGAACGGGAGAAGACCAATAGAAAGCGTTCTAAAAATAGGACAGCCAGTCAAGAACTTTCGAGAGAGCGAGCCAAGAAAGATGCTTTATTGCATGTGAAGACGACAGACACCAGCCGGAGTAGATCACGGAGTAGAAGTCCCGGAATTGTTACCAAGTGGTCTGGTACGTCTCAAGGCTACGCAACATCCAACGAGGAGACGGAGTGCAGGAGTAAGAATACTTTTATTACACAACCAATCAAAACCAAGACGTCCAAACATCACAGAACACTGACAGTATCTAGTCATAGGTCCAAAGGCAGCCTTTCTGGTCTGGATACAGAGCAAATCTGTGACATTTACGAGCCTAGCGTGGACGAAGTGGCTGAGGCTGCCTTACTCGGCGATATGCCGTCTCTGGACGGCCCTATGGATGCGCAGAGCAAGGTAAGGGTCGCGATGAATGGCTCTATATAAGCATAGATGTCGGTTGTAAGTACTCACACAGCTCTAGTACATGTAAACATATATCTATACATATATGGATCACATAGGTGTAGGTATGTCAATTCGATATTACACGCACTCGATATATTCGGAAGGGTCTATCCCGCCAACCGCTGGCCTATGGATGTGCAGAGTATGGTAAGGGGCTTTGGCAAGTGGGTCTGTGTATTGAAGTGAGTCTGTTTATTGAAGGTATGGATTAGAATTTCTGACCTAACAGCTCCTAAGTATATTCACGAAGCGCTACCCACACTGGATCTATTGTAGCGATTTTATGCAAGACTCTAGATAAATCACTAAGCCTGCTGAGATAGCTAAGGTTTATATCATCGAGTGTGTGTTGGATAGCCCAACGACTATGCTCAATACACACCCCGCTCGTAGACTGATTGAAAGGTGTGGAGAAACCAGTTGATAGAGACTATTGATTACTTTTCTGAACAATTACATACAACGCGGTTGAGTTTGTCGTCCTATCTGAAACGTTTGGCACAAGCGTGTGGCAGTAAGCAATATGCAATTTGTGAATGTTCATGGTATCCTCGGGAACAGTGCTTCAGTAAACACTATTGTGCTGTGCCGCTCTGTGTAAGTCAATTACTTCGTGAACTTGACATGACTACTCTCCTCTTTATGTACCATTCAGCGCTACCTCGATCTGGCGAACCAATTGGATATGAACCGAGAGATCAGACAGAGGAGAGCGGTGGCAGACAGTACTAACGTAAGTATGGCTCAGCTACCTACACGAACTTATACGCATACACGCGAACTCATATATATATATATATGTATATATATATGTATGTATGTATATA